TTAAAACAGTTGAGACTTGTGAAGTAGAGATCACTTATGCCGAGACGACATTCTACAAAAGAAAAGCACAGAAATCGGTAAGACAATGTATTGTTAATATGTTGAGTATAATTGGTAGCACTTTACAGTAGGGTGTTATTTGTGAACATTTGTTAATTTGTTTTAACTAACATGAACAAACAATGAAAAATACATTTACTACAGTATTTATTAATCTTTGTTAATGTAGGTAATAAAACATTTAGTTGTTCATTGTTAGTTCATGTTAGTTCACGGTGCATTAACTAATGTTAACAAACACAACTTTTGATTTTAATAATGCATTAGTAAATGTTGAAATAATATTAACTAAGTTTAATAAATGCTACAACAGTATTGTTCATTCTTAGTTCATGTTAACTAAAGTAGTTTACTAATGTTAACTAATGTTAGCATTTCCACCCCATAAGAAAAAAAAATCATGCTCTAGTAAATCATAATTATGACAAAATTAGAAATTATGACATACTAAATCGAAATTATGAGATTAATAATTCTAAATTATAATTTCAAAAATTTTAAATATACAACGTTTAAATAATGAGATTAAGAAATTCAAATTATCACTTAAATGTCGAAAATTATGTCATACTTATTTTGACTTGTGTGTATCATAATCTAACCTAAGTATGTCATAATTTGGAAATTTAATCTTATAATTTTGACTTTATATGTAACTTTTTGATTATGATTTACAAGAGCTTTATTTATTTATTTTTCTTATTTGTCGGTTAGGCCTGTAATGATAACTACTTTTTAGGCAATGTATTGTCCTAAAAATAACTGTGATATTATTGGCATTTTAAGACCACTTTATGCCACTGAATATATAATGATAATATAACAGCATAATAATGCAAGTAGTGCATGCATAATATTGCATGCACAAGATACTACAAAAGACAGTCAAACACATCCATCTATTGCACGGTTACATAGAAACTAAACAACAAAAATTAAAAAATAATAATAATAAACAGCACAAGCGGAATAAAAAAATGCATTCTCTCCTTTGTGAAACCCCCTAAACGCTAGCTGTGAAAGAGCACTATTTTGCGTAGTTACATTTATATATGTACCAGAACAGTGAATTGCGGCTTTGTGTCGATTTGGACTTATTCTTCAATACTAGAGTCTGGACTTGTAAGGAAAACACTATAAAGCTTCAAATTATGCCTTCTTTTCACCTGCCGATGTCCGCTCTTCATAATAATATAATTATCTATCACATGAATCCCACACACAACTGCACAATGCGTTTATAAAAGACTTGTTATTATTATTGTTATTAATATAACTATTATTATATGTTGTGTTATGCAATGTGTCGAGGATTTCACGCTTCACGATAATAAAACATTAATACACGTCTGCAGTGGCAGTAAATGAGCCACTCTGTTGTTTATAACACACCCGCAACACGAATACTAGCACTAGCATCGATTCGTCTGCTAGGAGATTTGGGTTTTGTGTGTATAAAACCAGGTTGGTCTGCAAAGCTGTCATGTTGTTTCGCTTTATATAAATGACATGCCGCATCAAAAGTATGTGTCTCCACCTAATGTTTCTGTATTATAAACATAAAACCGCCCTACATGTATAGAAACCCACAGAAAGTAGATATACACACCCTCAAAAACGAAACTAAAACAGCATTTGACCACTAGAGGACGAGAGTCGTTTCCTTTTTCTTCTAGGGTTTAGTGGTGGTTGACAAACAACGAGCTGGAGCATTACCGCCACCAACTGGTATGGACCAGAATGTCTAATAAATCAATTATAACCTATACGGGGAGGCTGCAGACCTGGAGCAGGCAGATCTACGGCCCAGACAGTTTTACGCCCCTGTTGTTCCTGATGCGTCCAGTAGGGGGAGGAGGATACACGGCGAAATTATTAAACCGACACTCGAAACTTCATTAATAACCGTACAGTACATAGGCATTGACTAATTGAGTTTTTGTGTGTGTGTGAATTTAAATATAAACGTTACATTAAGATATCAGATGATCTGCACTACGAATTAAAAGTTGGGAGGTTGTATCAAAGCATAGCTCAGTAGCTTAGTACATATAAGATACATAAATGTAGTTTCATTTGTCTGAGTACAAGGTTTTATTTTTTCAATTTTGCACCCGGTTTTGTCCCACTTCTCAATCTACCTGACCGTCAATAAGTACATGTACAGACAAATTTAGACTTTAATACGACTATAGACATTTATATCTATTAATATATTAAAATTAATTGACATCGACTCTTAGCTAATCATTTAACTATAAATGTTGCAACGTTGCACATTTGCTGAACAAGAATAACTTTAGCGATTATTTAACATACCTCTTATTCGTGTCGCTTCTGTTCTGATGGCTCATACTGTACAGCCTCCCCCTACTGGACGCATCAGGAACAACAGGGGCGTAAAACTGCCTGCTCCAGGCCTGCAGCCTCCCCCTGCTCATTATAACACATCTTTTGACTCCATTCACAGAAAATCTTTTAAATCACAACGACTTTTCAGCTTTCCCTAAGTTTTGGATCAAACGCTTTATTATTATTATTATTATTATTATTATTATTATTATTATTCATACATCATTAAT